CCGCTATCCCCTTCCCTTTGCTGCTGTCCCCTTCCCTTTGTTGCTGTCCCCTTCCCTTTGTTGCCGTCCCCTCCCCCTTCGACGTTGTCTCCTTCACTGTCCCCTTCCTCAACTTGCCCTCCAAAAACCAACTAGCCAATCAGCGCGCTGGGGCCGTCAATCGACAAGAATACCGGCGGCGGTGCAGTCCAGTAATATATAGTTTGTTTTTCTTCTGCGGTATAACACACAATATTCTCTTCTCACGTTGTTCGCTTTTCTGTTTTTAAAATCTTAAAACCTTTTTATTCATATTCTAATCCACAACTGTCCAACAAAAGAGAGCTGTAGTGGCTGAGATGCCGCAAAAAGCGAATTCGATTGGAATCTGTTTATACACGTTTGGCAGCAACACTAAATTATCGGCATTTTCTGACCTCTCTTTTATTGTAATTCTACGTAGCATATTCATTCCTTGATATAATTAATATTGGCTTTGTACTAAAAGCTTTTTAAAATATTGATGACAAGTAATCCAAGAGTTTCCTTCCGCAGTTTGTACGAATATTAAGCGTATAATGCGATTTAAATGCCTCCTAAAATGTTAAAATGTGTTAGTGCCTCGCAGTTACAACTCTAATTAAAAAGAAATTTCAATTACATTTATCGTGATTTCTAGTCTATTTTCCGCTCCGAAGTAATGGATCGCAAACAGACACAACAAAGAAAAAGAAGACGAGTCAAATATTTATTGCGATTTTAACACATGTGCTTCCGTTCGCATATTCAACGACTTCGCTGCTCTGTAGTCCAGATATCAGAAGCGCATTACCCGTAATCAGCATTAAATTAAAATAGAGTACATAGGTGTCTACTTAAATTAACAGAAAAGAGATTAATTCAAAGATTCTTCATGCTCCTTATGCAAAATAATAATTCTTGTTTCTAAATGAGACTGTTGCATCCACACAAGCAATTCTCTTTTATAATTCTTCATTATTTCGAGATTAGTTGAAATCGAACAGTATTCTGCAGTCCCGACAGCTTCTGCGCACAATTGGTGAGAAGACACACGCTAAAATTCGTTACATATAGGCGCAAACTTACGTTTTGTTTAAGATGTTTGAAAAAACAATATCTGTTATCTTCACGAACTGGTTACAGTGCGAAATTAATCCGAGAAACAAAAAAAACACTCAATTTGTGAAATACTCTTCTCTCAAGTCACTCTGGGATTTGAAAGAAAGACACACAACTGCCATTTTTTTTTAAAAGCGAGGGTGATTTAATACTGAGATAAGAAGGTCAAAAAAAAATATTTTACCGGGGTTAAAAAACTTCTAATCTCCTGCATTGTAAGTTTAACCAACGAGATCCTGCTTTCTTATCAAGCCGTAGTACCTGCCTCTCTTTGCCATAAGCTGCGTGTGAGTTCCATACTCTCGTACTTTTCCACCGTCAATATATATGATAAGGTCAGAATTTTGAATAGAAGACAGTCGATGAGCGATGGTAATGCAGGTCCTGCCCTCTCTAGCCCGATCTAGAGCTATTTGTACTGCCTATAAAATTTAAGAATGAAACAAACTATGACTGACAGAACCTTAAGAAATCAGAGAAGACAGAAAGAAAGGAAAGAAAGTGACTAATCGTCAAGCAGAATAATTCCTTGCTAGGAAAGGCAAAAAATTACCTTCTCAGCTTCGGAGTCGAGCGCAGAAGTGGCTTCGTCTAAAAGCAGAACTTTAGGGTTTCTCACTAACGCTCGAGCAATAGCTATACGCTGTTTCTGTCCTCCGGAAAGTTTTGATCCTTTTTCGCCGACGTCAGTTTCAATACCCTAGAAAATTGTAAAATAAGAAATGTTTAGAACGATCAGATTATAATTTTTAAAACGCTCAAACCAGACACACTTAGCTTAAAAATTTATACTTCACGAACATAGTTCCGCCTACACCAAGTCTTTTGACAGCAATTGACCAATGAAGAACATTTCACCCTTGCAAATAGTCAAAACCGAAAGTAACTTGACAAAAAACTAGAGGCATAAATCTCTATATAAATAAAAACACTTGCGAAAAGAGTCTGTTTTAAAAAAAATGTGACCTCAGGAAGAGCATGAACAAATGTGCTGGCGTTTGCGAGATTAAGAGCAGCTTCAATCTGTGCGTTTGTAGGCTTCATATCTATACCCAAACATATATTGTCTCTAATACTACCACCGAAAAGTCTTGGTTCTTGTCCTACTAATGCTATTTGCTTTCTCAAGTGATGTAAGCACAGTTTCGATACATCTTTGCCGTCGAAAAGCTAGAAGTAAATTTTTGATCGACATGAACAGGAATAAACAACAATTATGCATAAATATAAATATAATACGTACATATATATATATATATATA